ATGCTCAAATAAATTTGTTAGTCTCTAATGTGCCACAAGTACTCCTGTTCTTTTTGCGGATTCAGACTAACACGGCTGCTACTCTGAAACCAGTCTATACTGGCACGTTACAGCGCTGAAACTTGCAGCGCTCGGGGGTGTTTTTTCAAACCCCTGAGTGAGAAAGTTGCAGCGCTGTAAAGTGCCAATGTAGACAAGCCCACAGTTCTTGGATAAATACTCTCCTCCCCTCTGAAATCCACCTCTTCAAGCACTCTCTCCTGTCTGAATAATCCCCCATAACTTTCTTGTCCTGTGTTTTGCATAGTGCAGCCTGTCTCTTTAGGAGAGTAAAGTACCATGTAAATACATGATGTACAATTGCAAAAATTATGTTGTTTTGGGAAACACCACAAACTACAATGAAATTAGAATATTTGTTTTGAAATGGAAACAGCAAGCACTACATTGGAAAAAGATTTTGAGACTGTCACTTGCATGATTGTAGTAACTGCACAAGCATGCAGACACAATAAATGTGCTTGTAGTGTATGCATGAAAATATGCAGTTATTTCTGAAAAGCTGGACATTTTATGATATTGTAACTTTACACATGTTGTCCTTTTTAGCTCATGTGAAATTATATTTGATGTCTGTCACATTAAACTACAGCAGTACTGGAAAATTAATTATAAGTAATATACAAACAGTGGCAATATATATAATATGTGGGAAATTCCTTGGATGTTGCATATTTCAAATTCTTGGGGAAACAGTTAATGGGAACAAAGGAGAAGTTCATTTATTGATGTCATAATAAAGCACACTGCTCTTGACTGAAGGCAGTTCCTCCTGCAGGTTTTATTTACTTTGTTATGCACAGGCGTGACTGAAATCAGAATGTGAGTAATTCATTCTACCTTATTGTTCACTAATGTTAGTGTTGTTAGAGTATCTATAGAACAGAGATATTTGCAGTGAATTCCTTTATTTAAACATCTTTAGAGGGGGGAGGAGTGTTGAAGTTCAGAAGGTATTGAGAATTCTCAATTTGTTGTGCTAACTGTTTGACATAGTATGGTACTATAGGGTCCTTGTCTCTGCTGGGTTTTCACAGACTCCCAAGTTGAATGCAAATAAAACTTTTGATTATATTATTTTTGAAAATAAATGTGAGAGACAGAATTGGTCATGACAATAGCAAGGGTCCCATTTCCTATGTGGCACATTAGACCTAAACTATGCAACATGAACACAAGAAATATGTTTCAGAGAGAGAGCCATGTTAGTCTGTATCAGCAAAAACAACAAGGAGTCCTTTGGCACCTTAGAGACTAACACATTTATTTGGGCATAAGCTTTCATGGGCTAAAACCCTGCTTCTTGTCCTATCCTCAGTGGTTAAGAAGAACAATTTTTCTCTTCCTTGTAGAAACCTTTTATGTACTTGAAAACAGTTATCACATTCCCTCTCCATCTTCTCTTTTCCGTACTAAACAAACCCAATTTTTTCAATCTTCCTTCATAGGTCATGTTTTCTAGACCTTTAATCATATTTGTTGCTCTTCTCTGGACTTTCTCCAATTTGTCCACATCTTTCCTGAAATGTGGCGCCCAGAACTGGACACACTACTCCAGTTGAGGCCTAATCAGCGCAGAGTAGAGCAGAAAAATTACTTCTCTTGTCTTGCCTTGCTTACACCACTTCTGTTAATACATCCCAGAATTATGTTTGCTTTTCTTTGCAACAGTGTTATACTGTTGACTCAGTTAACTTGTGGTCCACTATAATCCCCAGATACCTTTCCCTATTACTCCTTCCTAGGCAGTCATTTCCCATTTTGTATGTGTGCAACTGGTTGTTCCTTCCTAAGTGGAGTACTTTGCATTTGTCCTTATTGAATTTCATCCTATTTACTTCAGACAGTTTCTCCAGTTTGTCCAGATCATTATGAATTACAATTGTATCCTCCAAAGCACTTGTAACCCCTACCAGCTTGGTATCATCCTCAAACTTTGTAAGTGTACTCTTACACTCTCTATGCCATTATCTAAATTATTGATGAAGATATTGAACACAACTGGACCCAGAACTGATCCCTGTGCGACCCCATTTGTTATGCCCTTCCTGCATGACTGTGAACCACTGATAACTATTCTCAGGGAACGGTTTTCCAACCAGTTATGCACCCACCTTATAGTAACTCCATTTAGGTTGTATTTCCCTAGTTTGTTTATGAGAAGGTCATGCGAGACAGTATGAAAAGCTTTACTAAAGTCAAGATATACCACATCTACCACTTCCCCCTATCCACAAGGCGTTTTACCCTGTCAAAGAAAGTTATCAGGTTGGTTTAACACAATTTGCTTTTGACAAATCCATGCTGACTGTTACTTATCACCTTATTATTTTCTAGATGTTTGCAAATTGATTGCTTAATTATTTGTGCCATTATCTTTCCTGGTACAGAAGTTAAGTTTATTGGTCTGTAATTCCCTGGGTTGTCCTTATTTCCCTTTTTGTAGATTGGCACTATATTTGCCCTTTTCCAGTCTTCTGGAAGTTCTTCAGTCTTCCATTACTTTTCAAAAATAATCGCTAATGGCTCAGATATCTCCTCAGTTGGCTCCTTGAGTATTCTAGGATGCATTTCATCAGGCCCTGGTGACTTGAAAGCATCTAACTTGTCTAAGTAATTTTTAACTTATTCTTTCCCTATTTTAACCTCTGATCCTACCTCATTTTCACTGGCATTCACTATGTTAGACATGCAATCACTACCAACCCAATCTACAGTCAGGGCATATGTTTATATAGCTCCATTGCACAGGGTGCAGAATCTTTCGCAGCCCTGAGCAGTGTAGCTAGGTTGATCTAATTTTTAGGTGTAGACCAGGCTTTAACCTTACATGTGGTTATTTGGGCTCAGAGTTAAATATAACAGTAAAAACAAAAATCTTTGCACAGAATCAAAAAGTAAACACATTCTGATCAAGACGTCGCATTGGAGCAGATTACTTCAAGACAGAAATAATTGCATACATATTTTGAACCATGTGGCATGGCCTCTGACATTAGTACATCTGAAAGGTCACCTTTTCACTCAAATCTTTAGAACCTTTTGGCTATGCATTAAGTTTATCATATTTTTGTAAATTAAATTTTCGACCCGGTAAACACTTACTGTAACTTTCAAGTTATCCTGTTGTCTTGGTGTACATAGTGATTTCTGTCTTACTAAAATCAGATGTCTTTATTGTAGTTTGGAGCTGAATTTCGACGGTTTTCTCTGGAAAGAACCAAACCTGGAAAGTTTGAGGAGTTTTATGGATTATTGCAGCATGTGCACAAGATCCCCAATGTTGAAGTTTTAGTTGGGTATATAGACATTCATGGAGATCTGCTGCCTATCAACAACGATGACAATTATCATAAAGCAGTTTCCACAGCCAATCCTCTGCTCAGGATTTTCATTCAAAGAAAAGGTAAGTTCACTAATTGTGTGTACTGGTAGTGTCCACTGTGTACAAAGCAGTATACATGCACATGGTCACGTATTTTGCCCCAGTCTAATTATTTTTTTAAAAAGTCCCAATTAAACATCCTGTTTCTCCATGTTGATGTGTACTGACTTCTTACTGATCTTCACTGGGAACTCCCAACTGTCCTTTGCAGCAGGCTGTTTCGAAACGTATTGTGCACCATTGCTGTAGGACTCGAGATTCCCCTCTGTCCTATAACTCTGCTACTAAGCTACTTTTCTCTTTTTTCTTTTCTTTTTTTTACATTTGTGAATGTCTGTAATACTTTGATTTAAATACCATTCGCTCCATGAAAAATCCATCCTCACTTCAGTAGAAATACTGCTTTTATATGAAGTCTTCATTAATGTACATATTCAATTCTTAGTTTACTCAAATTGGATAGAAACATTAAAGTTGAATCAACATTCTCCAGTGAATGTTTTTGTATATTGTTTAAAGGCAGTTGCTCATGTCTGGTTTTATTTCCACTGAAAGCTTAACAGTATCATGAATTCATCATATCCTAACTGGACAATAGGACATTACTGAAATACAAAATAAATTTGGTTTGAACAGAGATCTTATTTGAAGCAATGGGCATCAGTATAGCTTAAAAAGATTAATCTTATTAGCAAAATGTAAAATACATTAGGTTATAAGTGTCATGTTGAATGGTTGCTTATTTCAGCTATCAAAGTTCCAATGGGATGATTATTTCTTATTCAGAATGGAAATTTGTCTTCTCCCACATCTTTCTTTCAGCAATAGGTGTAATTTCCAGATTAAATTTTTTGGTCTTATCCTTAAACTCCATCTTTTGAATGCTGTTTCAAAGTATTCATAATTTGTTGCATGTCGAATAAAGCTTTTGCTATCTGTAGCAATTACTATTTAAAAGATCAATAAAACAGATATCTTCCCAGTGCAAAAATAAATATTTCTGATTCTTCTTCCCCAAAAAAAGAGAATTCTTTAGAAAAATGTTTTAGCTGAATTTCCTCTTTCCTAACAGAACTCTTGTCATTTGCCAACCACCATGTTGCCAGTAAAATGTATTTGCTGTATTTAAGTGTTCATGGAACAGGTAAAGACTGTTTCAATCCTGAATTGGCAGGGAGCTGGACTACATGACCTAATAGGTCTTTTCTGTCTCTAGATTCTATGTAAGCTCCTTCAGCAGCCATATGACGAGAGCAGATAAACCACTTTATCAGATTGAGATTACTAAAGTTGCATTTATCACCATATGTTTTTTTTTTTACTACAGTTGTACATGCAACTCCCTGTACTCATGTTAAAATTCATTCTTAAAGCATGATTGACATGTAGATTATTTTGGTATTGTATGGGACGTTTCTCTGTTCTAGGCACTGACCAGTTTTAATTTTTAAAATCACTTCCGTAAGAGGTCAACGGGAAACACTGTAGCAACCAGCCATTGTCTTTCCTCCCCTTTTCCACTCCTTTTTGATACCAGTCTTATTGCTCTGTGACTCCATGTCTGAGCTGCAGAAGACTAGGAAATAGAGCTCAAAGTTGTTCCCAAAACTGGGTCTCAAAATCAGTCTGACAGCCAGTACCTATATTTATATTGTGCCAGTGTGATGACTTTGAAAAAGATTGTACTGAAGGGTGATATAAATCTTAAAATTTGTTCAAATTGAAAAAATCTGATTTCTTTTATTTCTTCAGTCAGTCCATTATTAAAAAAAAAAAAAGTTTGTTAGCAGTTCAGGCCTAGTTTCGTGATGCTGAAAACTACTTATAAATCCATGCAGTATAGCTTCTAATTTGTTTTATTGCTCAATTAGGTGTAATTGTACTATATTTCCTGTTCTATTGCATAACTTTGTGTCTGCACTTCAGTGGAAGTGGAAATAAGGTATGGCTGAAGAAATACTCACCATTGACAAGGCTGCTATAATTTGTCACTTTTGAAACTAGAATTTGTTGAGGGGACAGATGATACAAATTACACTTCTGTACTGCCAGCCCTTTTTGAGACCTTTGTATCATCATCTTCTGCTACATTGCTTGAATAACAGAAATAACCTGTAGATTTTTCCCATGGGAAAGTTTATTCCCAATATAACTTAAACAGAGATAGTGGGGAACAACAAGACCCTTAGCAGTAGACCACCACAATATGAGAGGAAAAGTAGGTATTTCTTCAGACACTTGAAAATGTCTAATCCCAGCATTTTGCTTATTTAGAAATTGATGTGTATTTTAAATGAGAAGCTAGAATGCAAGGGAGGGACACATCCATACCAAAACCTGAGGTACATGTAAGTAGAGCAGAATATATTAGAATCCTGAATGTTATAGTTAATACCCATGATATAGCTAGACACCCCCCCCCCCCCCCCATAAAATGTCAAAGACCGTGGGTTCATCAGGAAACAGGTGGCCTGGTCACATGTTAACCAACATGAGTAAGTTCAAATAAAGGCAAGGCAGTTAGTAGTTTTAACACTATTAGCAGGTTGAGGTAAACGTGTTCCTGCTAGTGTTTACCTCAACTTGTGAACAGGTGAAAATTAGCGACTGCCTTGTCTTCACTGGGATTTCATTATGTTAGCTTATGTGGTAAGAGAACACTTTTTCTCCTAGTGTGGACACACCCTAGCAGGGTGAGTTAATTATTTTTACTTCTTTCTAATTTGTTAGCTTTATAAAGAGTTCATTATACTATGGCTAGAATAAAAGTTAAATTTCCCCAGAGATGAATATTGTCTAGGTTAAACATAACATTATCACCTAGAAAAACAACAAGGAGTCTGGTGGCACCTTAAAGACTAACAGATTTATTTGGGCATAAGCTTTCGTGAGTAAAAACCTCAACTTCTTCGGATGCATAGAGTGAAAGTTACAGATGCAGGCATTATATACTGACACATGGAGAGCAGGGAGTTACTTCACAAGTGGAAAACCAGTGTTGACAGGGCCAATTCAAAAATCAGGGTGGATGTAGTCCCCTCCAAATAATAGAGGGGGAGGTGTCAATCCCAGGAGAGAAAAAGCTGCTTCTGTAGTGACCCAGCCACTCCCAGTCCCTATTCAAGCCCAGATCAATGGTGTTGAATTTGCAAATGAATTTTAATTCTGCTGTTTCTCTTT